AAGGTTGCATAAAAATGGATTTGAAACAAGCCTGAAGATTGATTTGAAGCCAACATGTAGGTGTATTCGAAGGAGACATGCAGGTGACAATGCCTTGTGCATGCTAACATGAGGAAAAGCCCTGCCTTGTGAATCAAAGAAAACACGTAAGGAGCCAATGGTGCAACCGAAACCAGCATGCAGGAGGTCCCTGCTTTGTGTCAATGGAAAGCCTTTAGAAGACCATTTCCCTCTGAATCGAAGAAAGATTTTAGAAGGTCATAATTCCCAGTCGAAGCTAGCATACAGAAGGCAATTGCTTGAATGAAGCTTGTAGACCAAAGGATGCATGAAGGGGTCCAGAGTTGGATTCGACGTATGTTGTTTTGAAAGGAAACCATACTCCAATCCAAGCTTTGTGAGAAGGTAATCCTTATCCAATCGAAGTTCGCCTGAAGGAGGTCATTGCTCCCTGAATTGAAGCTTGCATGCCGGAGGCCACATGCTTTGTCGAAGCTTGTGGAAATCTTGCTCGAAGGAAAGCCAAATGTTCAATCGAAGCGTGTGAATCAAGGCTCACTCGAAGAATCCAAAATGTTCTGTAAAAGGATGAATGAGTCGAAGAAAGCTTGCTTTTCTTCAATTTTGTCAAAAAAAATCATTTTTTATATGTTTTTCCCTTTTTGTCTGTTTTGTGCTTGTGCAAACTTTGAGCATTTGAAAATCCTTGTGAGAAGATGTCTTAGAAATAAGAGGGAAAATTTTGGGGTACAATATTCATTAACAAAAATCGATCAAATTTGTGGAGGGGAGTGGTCAAGGATAGCCTCAGACCTTCAACGGCTTTAACTTTGTTAAGACGCGGAACTTTTTCGGAAACTAGACAACCTAGTTCATATTAAAATGTGGAATTTAGCCAGTGTTGCAGAAGCCAAAAGGATCCTGAAAGAGTGAAGCCATTATCATGATCAGGAAGTGCCTTAAGTTGTGTAGAAGCATTGCCCAAAGTTTGATAAAGATTCGCCAGTAAAAGCTTTCCCAACGAGATGTTTTGTCCCTCATGGAGTTGAATCATCAGAGGTGTGAATTCCTGAGTCGTGCAAAGGATTCGGTGCAAAACAAGAAATGGGAAAGCCAGAGGGTGAGAAAGGCTATATGTTTAGTGTTAAAGACATCGCTAGTACCCACATGATGATGACCAGCAATGTAGCTGGCGAAATCTGATTAGTCGAAGCAAAATGTGTATTTCGTTGACACAGATGGGTTGAAAGTCATACCCAACGGAGAAAGCCCAGTGATGGCTGCTACGTCAAACAGGGTAGGTGTCAACATCGTACAAGGAAGTTGGAAAGTGTTGATCGAACCTTCCTAAAAGAAAAGTGAGGTGAGAATAAAGTTGGGATCAATTGTATGGGCGCTCCGTGAAGTTTGAATTACATTGAAGATACCAAGTTTTCCCATTGCGGTTTCCGTTGTTCTTGAACTCTATCAAGCCAAGAAAGGTACATTGTATTTTCTGGATTGGGTATGGAGGAAAATACTGCGATATTAGAGACCATAAACCTAACATCAATGGGTTTTGTATGGTTGAAGGCAGAAGGCATAGCAGGAAGAAAACAGGGAAAATATTGATTGACGGTTTTAAGACGCGTCTTTTGGGATGGATAAGATCCATGGAATGCGAAGAGTTTTCTTGCAACAACAAAAGGAATCAGCATTTGGTGTTTCCATGCCTCAACCTTGGATTCCACCTTAGAAGGAGGATATGGGATGTAGTTCAAGCTTTGTTTCATAGAAATAGAGAAAGTAATGGGATTATCAGCGGTAAAGGGAATATCAACTAGAGTGGCCATTACAAAAACGAAAGAAGTTCCCTTAACATTTCCAGGAATTAAAAAGTTAGTAAACTGAATTAGAAGAAAGAGACTAAGGGTTCTTGAAAGTCTATTCAAAGGAGAATCAGAACTGTTAAGAGTGAAACAAATGTCACTTGAATAGAGGGAGCATGCCAAAAGAAGTGGAAAAGTTAGTTGGGTTTGTTTGAAACCCACGCCCTAAATACTATGAGTAATCATAAGAAGTGATTGAAATCACATGGGAAACTGTTGCGCAGAAAATAGTCATGATTACGTGTGACGTCATCCCAAAGATTGATGTGGTCAAAAATATGGAATAAAAACGCCAGAATTCTTCCATAGACAAAGCTCTGTCATATATGGCGTTTTAGGGGTAAATTTGTTGACAAGCAAATTTCGAATGGGGTTATAAGCATTAGGCTGTGGGATTTATTTGGCTGAAGAGGCATAAAGTTTCGTAGAAAACAACAAGACGCATCTAGCAAGGGAAGAGATACCGACCAAAAGAAGCTATTCGACTAAAGGCTTAGGATGTGCATGTGGTCATCGACAGGAGCAGGTGTTGACGAGAAGGGATTCATATTGGCGAGAATGGTTATCAACGTACAAAACCAGTGAAGACGTGGGTGTATTCAAAACAGTTTCCCACGAAGCCCAACGTGAGCTAGTAACTGTCGACGGTTACGTATCTAGGATGTCTATTTAAACAAATTTTTGTATTTGTGCCAAAGGTCTCATTTCTTCACATTTAATAACAATACACTCAAAATACCCGCATCTAAGAGAGAAAGGAGTTCAAGCTTAACAATGTATGAATGCTTCCACATCTAAATTTATAGCAATTTCCAGCTTTTTACTTTAAATTACAAGCCTTGTCTTTAATTTATCTGCTTTGCAATTTTATTTATCTTTTTCCCTTTTATCTTTTATAAACTAGTTTTCAACCCAAAAATCACTCAAAACACTAAGTCTAGGATTATTGTAGTTGATCCTGCAAGTACCCTTTAATAAGAGGTTATCAATTTTTTTGCCAAGAAATAATTAGATGTCAAACCTTTAATCAAGGAGAACATCATATAGACATGAAAATCTTGAACTATACAGTTCTTCAGCATCTTCATCTTTGACCACCATACCAAATAACACATTTGAAAGAATGATACATACACTTCACCAACCATTTCCTAAACTTAGACATCTGACTGGTGTCACGCCACGAATAAACACATAGTCGCCGCCGAACTTTATTTATCCCAAAGGAAGGCAAAATATCGAGAAAACTCCAAAATAATGGATAAGATGGTCTTGCGACCAAGAGAAGAGGTGTTGAATTTGATTACGCAAGGGTAATGTATTAGCACCCCTCACGTCCGTGGTACTCCACGGGGTCCACTCTTGTTGTTCTAATCAAAGGGTGTGTTATATGTATTGTTTACTTGCTAAGGGAATACATGCATGAAAAAAGAAAAAAATACAGGGAAAACAAAGGTTTTAAATAGTTGTGCTCGCTTAGGACCTGCAACCTAATGCCTACGTATCCCTTTTAAGGAACCATAGTGTCGTATTTCGGCTCAAAAATTTTGGTCCGTTGGTGTTTTTCATGGGTCACTAAGCCTTTTGAAAATATTTCGAGTTACGCCCTCGAGGCAAGATGGCACATTTGATTTATTTGTGTTTTGTTATTATGAAAGTGTTTAAGTACAATTAGGTATTTTTGAACAGGAATAAGAAAAAGAAAGTTTTAGTCTTGATGGATGCAAAATGGGGATGAAAAATCTAAGGGAAATTCTATTCCTAATGTTGACATACAATGGTGCTCCTAAAGTTTGGATCAAGGGAATTCTACCCAATTTCACCATGCTTGGTTTAATATCTATTTAATTCAATTTAATCAAAGGATTAAAACTAAATTAAAACCTAAGGGATCATGGCAATATCACACAAACAATTATTCAAATTAAAAGAAACCTATTCTATTATTTTTCTCACTTTATCATGATGAAGAAAAAAATAAGATCGAAAGGAAAACCAATTAGAAACAATTATCAAATAATGATCAAAAGCAAGATAAGATGAAATAAGCCATAGGGTGCAAGCAGCAACCAGGAGGCGTGAACCAGGAATATCTAAGTCCAGTTAGAAAATAAGTACATAACTAATTTTTGTGTTATACAAGTTTTCAGTAAAAAAACGTGCAAATTGGACTTCAGGGGGAGGGGATATGAATCTTTATATAGACCTTTTTGTTTTGCACCCACTAAGCCTTTTTTTTGCATCAGAATTGAACAAAGGGGAAAGGGTGAGGATATAAAAACCCTAGATGGGCCTTTTTGTTTTGCACCCACTGAACTTGAATCTGGATTCCAAACTTACAGAATCTTGCTCAAACACGCCATACAGAGGCATTTTCAGGAATTCGAGATTTGCATAACATCACAAAAAATCACACTAATGTCTAAGCTATGCCAGCAAACATTGCCCTTGATAGAGGGACTCAGATGCAAATATTTATACATGATCCTAGCAAAAATGAAAACCTAGCATGATGCGTGCAAGAGAGATAAAAGCTCCAAGTGACACCTAACGGAGAAGGTCTGTTGCCTCTTCAAAGCTATGCAAGAAATAAGAAAACTCTACCAAAAAGCTTCATTGAATTTCCTTGATGAAAATTATGTCAGAGAGTTAATCCAGAAAAATTAAGTGCCAAACCCCAATCACATCTAGGCCCACAAAGAGATTATTTTTGATCTGCCTCAAGTTACCGAAAAAACCAAAATCACGTAATAGGCCTCTAGCCATGGTATAGTGCGGTACAAGCCCATCATTCCCAATCCACCAACCAATTTCTACATAATTCTTAGTATTATCTAGCATGTTCCTTTATTTATTTTCTTGAAAATAATAATATATAACAAGAACAATACTAAAATGATAAAAATGGTGTGTAGGGTTCACAATCATATGACTTTTCAACTTCTTCGATCATATTTCCCTCTCATCTCTCAATCCACGTGAACGGCGCACAAACCTTGTTCCTCCGCCTTCTCCGACTCCCTCCATTCATCCACCGTCTCAATTCCTCGTCTTTCTTGTCAGCATAATGGTGGTTTCAACTCAACCTTCTACTCTTAGATTCGCCGCAGATGTCTCATCCTCTTCGCCTCGATGTGTAGGCCTCATCTCCTCCATCGTTCTCCATCTCTATCTTTTTGTTTCATCTTCAGAATAATCCATCAAGCGAACATCGTATACCATGGATCCAGGGCTCCGATCTATGCGCTTAAGAAAACTTGGAAAAGATGGAAGAAATCGAAGATTAAGTCTTACCTACCAGAGAGAAATCTAGATTTTCTTCGATTCAGGTACGATTTCATCCATATTTTCGATTACTCTGCATTTCTTCTTTTAATTCATTTCATCTTTATCTCATTTCTGCACTTTTCTGTTACGCGAATTTGTGAGGTTTGTGATGCAGATCGAAAATGCAGAAGTGACGCAGTGAGGTGCTATAGTTGAACTGTCGAGATGCAGTTATTGTTGTTGAAGGTTGATACGTTGTGATGAAGATAATGAAATTCAGAGAGAGATCAAAGAGATATTTTTGGAGAATTTTGGTGAATATGAACCACGGTGAATGAGATTGAAGAGTATGGTTGTGGAGAAGATGATTGAAGGTTGAGAGAGAGAGAGAGAGAAAAATGAAGAGGAAGTTTCTGAGAATTTTTTTGTGATTTTGTGAAAATGAATCGTGTATCTGGATTAAAGGTGAGTTATGTTTATATAGGTTAAGTGAGAATGGATGATTCAATTAGAGAAGAAGGATCTTGAGCCTTTGGGTTATGAGAACCTGTTATGAAATTAGTGGTGGATTTGAGTCAGTTATGTGCAGTTTGAAGGCTAGTATAATTTTTGCTAGAAGGTTGTTACGAGGTGATTTGGGATTCTGTTATGAACAGTTAGGTGTTAGTTACAAATTTGAATCAATCTTGGTGTTATTTTTCTGAAATTATGATTGGCATATATTTTGGTAAAATCAACTTGGCAGTAACATGTTGAACAAGATGTTTCAACTTACAGTTTTCAACATGTCGAGTAAAGATGTCCCAACCAGGAGATAGGACATCGGGTCTACAGTAGCTGTTAGTGATGTTTCAACTGATTTGTAAGTTACTGAATGTTTAAGGAATATTCAGTTAGCTTATGTGGCATCCAAGATTAACGGATCAGAATATTTTATGTTGGTTTTCGAAGATCTGCATGATTTCTAAATATGGAGACATTTTAGGAAACTAATGATTGAAGACCTATTTTCTTGGAGAAGACTTTGCAGACTTTGTGCAGCCTTACTGTTGCGATTTTGAAGCTTAACCCAGTCCAAAATAATGTTATAAATATACTGGTGTATACCTATTATTAGGTGGAACTTACGTGTGTATTTTATTAGGTTTTAGAATCCTTATTATTGGGTTGTAAGTTATGTGTAAGATGTTCATAAGCTTTTAAGCACTAAAAATTTGTGTGTCAGATGCTCATAAGTTGTTAAGCATTGAATATTTGTGTGTTGATTCTCATAAGATTTTAAGTATTAAGTTTTTATGTGTTTTGGAAGAGTGACTTGCGGTTTTGTTCTCTACTTGTGTTTAGAGTTGTTGCAATTGCTGAGTGTAATTGAAGAGGGATTTGAGGAGGGCCTTATACTAGGTGTGTCTTATGTAGAAGTTAAGCAAAGGGTAGTGATTAATGAAGGTAGAGAAAACACAAGAAGGGGGGTTTGAATTGTGTTCATAGAAAACATTCCCCTTTTGAAATTCTAAGCGCTTAAATGATAATAGCTATAAAGACAATGAATAGAAAAGGGCACAAGTATTTTATCCAGTTTCATTATTAACTAGGCTACTCCTGTTCACCCTCACAAGGATGATTTTTCCTGATCCATGGACTTAATACACTATAACCAAACTGATTACACTTACACGGGAAACCATCGGTGACTAACACACAATGACACGTTCAATGATCCAACCAGATATAACATTCAGTGATCTAATAATCTGATTCCTCAAGATCTCCTACCAGGATTTCCTTTCAATGATTCCATCAGTGGTCTCACAAGAGTCTGACCTTCACTTGGTCCCCTTTGAGATATAACTACCATTGATCCAACAGAATTCGATACTGCAAGATCTCCTATCAAGATTTCCTATAATGACTACAATCATTATCTTCTTGAGATCCGACTTTCACCTAGTCTCTCAAGGAATCAATCAACAACAGTTGATGGTGATCTTGTGTTTATATGGATTCTTCTTTTAAGAATATTACAAAAGTGTTTTAAGCACATATTATTTAACATCTTTCCGAGCAACAACTCAAGTGTTAAAATAATTTACATGAAGAGATATGAACAGAAACACTATACCAGGAACAACTCTAGTGTTCATTAAAATGTTCTACAAAGATGTATATGATCGGAAGTTGAGTAGAATCTTGTAGTGTTCTTCTTCATCTTCTTGTTGAGCAAGCTACGAGCAACAACTCCTTGCTTCTTCTGAGATCTACCAAGATGTATGTGATTGAAAGTTGAACAACATCTTGTAGTCTTCTTCTTCTTTGAGCAAGCTACGAGCAACAACTCCTCGCTTCTTCTGTTTCATCCAAGATGCATATGATGATAGTTGAATGACATCTTATTGAAATCTTCTTTCTTTCTTTTCTCTCTTCTTTAGTGGTCTTCAGAATGTGTAGCATTACAACTTTAACATCTTCAGCATCCACTACTTTCCGTTCACAGGATGAAGCTTGATGGCCAATGGCAAACGAAAACGGCTACTTTTCTTTGAATCTTCAATCTTCATTTATAGCCTTTGATAGAGAGAGACGTTGTGAGGATAGAAAGGACTTTTCCTGCACCAACGATTAGTTCCAAATATATATAATAAGGTGTAAGAGTTTAGACAGTATAAAATAATATTTATGCATCATGTCATTGTTCAATAATAGCTTTCCACCTTTTCTTTGAATAATATTTTTCTATTTAAGCTTGTAAACAGAGATCCGTTAAATAAACAAAGATAGTTGTAAATCCAGTTGTTTGTTCCCAATGGTCACAATAAGAGTGGTTGACAATACAGTATAAAGGATTGTCCTTACGTCACCCTAGAGGGTAGAAGTCACAAACACTTTATGTACCTTTTGCATAACATCACACGTTAACCATTTGAACTTTCTTCTTATCTTAAAAGGCCTTAGATATTTGAATGTTGAACTTTGAAGCTTGTTATAGAAGAATATTTCTTAAGCCTTAGAACCTAAGTCTTGGAGTCTTCATAACTTGTCATACAGAACCTTGTCTTCAGAGTCTTCAACACTTGGTTGTAAGAACTTGCTTTTCTTCAAATCATTAGAACTTGTTCAGCAGAACCTCATCTTCATAATCTTCAGAACTTGTAACACAGAAGTAAATCTTTAGAAGGACTCCAAAGCTTAACCACAAAGTCACCATCATAACTTCTTGTACTAACGTTCCTAAGACACGTTGCAGAAGATAAGTTTAGAACCTTGACATTAACTAAATACGTAACCACATGTTTTCTTCCAGAGTGTATGTTCAGAACCTGATTTCGTCACACGCCTTGTACTAGAGTCACAACATTATAGCAGCAACTACACACTAGACGAAACTACTAGTGTATACAACTGTTCTCTAGGATAACATGTAAAGTTATCATCAAAATCTCAAGGTCAAATGTAGAAACACTTCTTATTCTTACAATTAAGTGTGTAGGTTGTAAACTAGGATGTTTGTTATGAGGTCTATAAATTTATACTATCTAGTTAATTTTGTCCTTGGCTTGGTAGTTCTCAGAGTAGGAAGGTTGTTCCGAACTGAGTAAACATATCTTGTGTTATTTACTCTTAGCACTATTTATTTTGTCTATCCATCTTGCTTTTGTGTGTTGAAATCAGATCCGGTGTTTCGACATCTCTTAGGATATCTTGGATATGACAGTCAGAATTTCAATTGGTATCAGAGCAGACATCATGCTCTGACTCTAGGTGAGATTCAAGGAAGTTACTTTCTGGTGCAATGAACAAGGATGTCAGAGTTGTGGTTAAAATACCAATTTTGGATGGTATCAACTATGACAGTTGGAAACCTCGTATGGAAACTTTCATAAAATATTTGGGTGAAAAAGCCTAGAGGAATGTTAACAAAAGATGGGATCCACCGAAGGTTTTAGAGGCAAAAGGTAAGGCCACTGATGTGTTGAAGCCTGAATAAGATTGGAAAGATAATGATGAGGCATTATCTCAAGGAAACTTCAAAGCACTGAATGCCATTTTCAATGGAGTTGATAAAAATATTTTCAAGCTAATCAAGAATTGTAAAGATGAAAAAGTTGCATAGGAGACCTTGAGAAAGGTCCATGAAGGAAATCCTTAGGTTAAATTGAAAAAGCTTCAACTTCTCTCCACCAAATTTTAGAACTTGAAGATGAAGGAGGATGAGAGTATCTAGGACTTTCACATGACTGTTCTAGATATTGCTAATGACTCAGAAGACCTGGAAGAGAAGATATCAGAGAATATTCTAATCATGAAGATGCTCAGATATTTTCCCAAGAGATTTGACATGAAGGTGATTGCATTGAAGAATCCCAATATTTGAGCACTATGACAGTAGATGAACTTGTAAATTTACTTAAGACTTTTGAGTATGCTATCAATGAAAGATCTGAAAAGAAGAAGAGCATGGCATTTTCTTCTAGTGCTGAAGACTCAGAGGATAAAGGAAACATGAACTATGAGGGAGTATCTGAGGATCTCGTGCTGTTGGGAAGACAGATTAACATGGTGTTGAGAAAGTCCGGGTTGGGTTCTAAGAACATGTGATATGACATCAACAAAAACCAGGACCTAGGAAGGAAGTCAAGATTTAAAGAGAAGCCAAACCAAGGGAAAGGTGTGCAGTGTCATGAATGTGAGGGATATGGTCACATAAGAACTGAATGTGCCACCCGTATCAAAAATCAAGGGAAAACCCTATTTGTATCATGGTCAGATGGAGAATCTGAAAGTGATCATGAGGAAGATCCAGCCAAGCATATGACTACATTGACTGGAATTTGTGGATCTGATAAAGAATCATGTGAATCTGATAAAGAATCATATGTTGGAGAACTCACAGTTAGTGAACTTGCTACTAGGTTCACACAGATGTGCCTCAAAATTAGTGAATGGTCAAAGAATATTAGAGAAAAAGATACTTATTGCTAAACTAGAGTGAAATTCTGGTATCAGATATGTGATGTCGAATGAGATGTCACGACACAAATATCTGAGGAACAAAGTAAAGTGCAACAATAATAAAAGCAGTGAAAACACAAGGGATTATTAACCCAATTCAGTGTACAACAACGCCTACTCTAGGGGCTACCAAGCCAGGGACAAGTCCATTAAATAGTATTAATTCATAGACCCTCAGTAAACAACTAGTTTACGATCTAATCACTTAA